CGAGTGAGTGGTTACTTTTTATGAACTTAACGTTTTATGTTTTAAAGTTACGTGTGTTTTTGTTGTTTTGTTTTTTTTATCTTTTCGGACAAATTTTAGGTACGCTAGGGATTGGGACACTTGCTGTTTGTTGAATATTGACACACTTAGGAGTAGACAAGCGCGGTACGTCAATTAGAAAATATAGTTAATTATTGCACACTGGTTTAATCAGACAGCAACCGTCCGGTGGGGGAAACAGCCCGCACACACACACCTAGACATACACAACATTGTTTATATTCAGTATGATTGAAAACGATCGATGTAAAATTTTTCGTTATTGGTAAAATTTAACCGTGTGTATATTTTATTTATGATGGGTAACGAAATTTTATTTTTTTCGTCGTATATTGTAATTATATTTACTTATTGCTAGGACTCTTTCTGCCTAGAAGTCCGTCTAAGCAGGTACCTATATCTGACGTCAAATAGCAGTGCATGCTTCGCTACGTTCCGGCACAGCCTAAGAAGAACATACAGTCAGTCATCGCGATTGATGTTGTCGGAAAAGCCGACATAATAAATTGCTAGGGTTGTCAGAACGGGAAGTAATAAAAAAATATTAAAACTCATTTTATTTTATTTCACGTTTAAACAAATTAATGTGTATGTCGAAACTGACGAAACTAATTCCTTATCTTTAATTGAGGACGACCCACAGTTTTTTTACCGCACATGTGGTGTGACCGATTTTAATTTATTTGCGTGTCACGACAACCCTAGCGGACAGTTCCCGAGTGGCTAATGGCCGCACGGAAAGTGCTCAGCCCGCGTCTCGGGCCCCACCGCACCGCACGATTGCCCCGTTTAGACGCCTTCGATGATCGACTATTAGTAGTAGTTAGACTTGTGGTTCCGATCTGAAGAGTGAGCCAGTTAAAAAAGAACAAGGCATTCCATCTTAGTCCTCAGAGGGGACAACACACATGTAGCCGTCGTTCTTTGAAGTTGGTTGCAGGTGTGTATGGGCTGCAGTTTACCATTTACCATCAGGCGTACTACAAGTTCGTATGTCAATTAAGTTTTATAAAAAAAAATCGACTACGGTAACAATTTCATATGATCGGAAGCTGTCAACTACGCTGCAGAGAACAATATATTCCAATGCAATAAGTGTTCTTACAAACTGTTCCTCGTACTCCTGTGTGAGTACGATTACCCGTGCTGCCCTAAATGAGTATGGGACTCATTATGGGCAGGCGGGTTATTCTTCTTCTTCACCAGCTTGTCAAAGGTTACTACTCGACAGGAGTCTCTCTTGTTGTACAATAGATTTACCTTAATCGTCACGCTTGGCCTGATAGGCGGATTTGTTTTCAAAAGTCAAATTCTTGCATTTGTGTTCCAAGTAAAAGAAAAAACAGTTATTGAGTTTTTCTGTCAAAATATTCCCAATAGCTGCCCGGAGTCAGGGAGTTAGCGGTGATTCTTCGCGCTTGTGTTTCGCAAAGCCGTTGGTCTTGCGCCTGATCTCTCCCTGACTATGAGAGTGAGGAAAAAGAGAGTACACTTGGCTTGCACATACACTCGGGCAATATAATCCTGTGCTAGGCAGGCGGCTAGTCTCTGTTGAGGCTGAACGCGCAGGTGGATAGTCGCCGTTGAGGCGGAAATTCGGTCTGGAGGACATTATCAATATACTACAAACTTTGACATCTGCCTGAAGTGGACGTGATTGTTTCCAGCTCTATACCTCTGGCCCTTATGATCACTTAACATCGTTTAAGAGTAGGTGAAGACGACTATAGTATGACTGGATAGTTTTTGGAAGTACATCAATATACTATCTAATCTCCTATTTGTAAAAACTTAATCGGTAGTTCTCTATAGTGTAGTATTCTATAGTGACGTAATCCAAAATCTTACACTTGATTTACAGGAAACACTACTTGAAGGTTGAAAAAGAGTTCCTTCAGGCGAAAATTAACCTACAGAAGGAGAAGGAGAAGAAAGAACTGCTCACCGAGCACTTGTGTGCTTTGATCACTCACAACGAAACCAGAAAAGCGCAGAAATTAGAAACGTTGATGTTGGAACTTGCCAGTGATAGAAAAACTAGTGTTAGTGAAGTTGAGACTCCAGTAGAAGAAAAAAATTCTGTCATAGAAGACGGTGTTGATCAAAGAACTGGTAAAATGGTGGATATATCGAATGAAAGCTGATCAATAAAATAATTTCTCGCAATAAATTCTGTAATATAAGTATAGTCCTAAAATACTGCCACTACTAGAATGATTATGTCCTTGTAATTTTGATACTAATTCCCAAAAATAATGGTGCAATTACTTTAAGACTTATGCATGTGCCTTATTGTTAACGTACAAATACTAGCTCTATATATCTAAAAAAATTAATATAAGTTACTGAGACGTGTAAAATATGACATTTTACGAGTATTTATTATAGTATAAAATAGTTCATAGCAAATATTGTATTTTAACTCTTTTTAAATTATGATTTTTGGCAACCGAGTTTTGCTCATAATTGTTTACGTCGGAAGTATTTCAATAATGCAGACTTATTACTATAATGTATAAGCAATATCAATCAAGCAAGTTAATGAAAGTTTGGATGGATGACACTGAAAAAGATTTTTTTGATGTGTAACATCTTTCCTCTCGCTTTCCCGCAATCTTTGGGAGTGATTTCGTGAAAAGGGACGGAAATGTGTAACAGTAAACCGGGGAAGCGCGCGCTATTTCATTTGGCCAATGAGCGCGCGCGGTGGTAGTAAAGTTTGCTATTATATAAATTAATTTGTATATGTAAACTATATTAATAAATTTATTTACTGTATATATAAGTGTCTGAACAAAGTGCAGATCATTGATAAAAATGCAATCGAGTAATTATGAATAATTATGAATAATTAATCGAATAAATATTTCAGTATTTAGCTTTTATAAATTTCGAGGTTAATTTCTGTCGCTGCTCAATTGATATTTTTAATTTATAAAAAAAAGCATTTTTCATGATCTAACAATGTTGCTTATTACCAAGGTGAGATGTACTGTAAGGGTCGCTCGTTTTTTTTTTATTTTGTTCCAATAATGTAAATTCCTTTTTTGATTCTGTGAGCCAGATAAAGCATTTAATTGTAAATACGAATTTAGACCCGCTAAAGAACGCAACCATTAATATTAGAAGAAATGTTGCTAGTTTATCTGCCGACTTCCTAAAAGGAGACGGTACTCAATTCGACTGTATGTTTTTTTTATGTGTGTAACACACATAAAAAAACATACAGTACGTACTCATAACTTTTTACTGGGTGAACTGATTTCGATGATTCTTTTTTTATATGAAAGCTGATACTTTGAGAATTTGAACAAAGTCAGATCAATAGTTTTTGAGTTATTCTTAATAACTTATATTGAAGTCGGCTGTACAAAATTTTTAATTTTAAATTATTAAATAAAATATTTTTATAACGAAAGTTTTATAAATTATCTTTGTTTTATTGTGTAATGAATATTATTTTCTAATTCATTATAGGCATTAAGAAATAAAAATATTATGTAATATAAGAATGAATTTTATTTTTTAAATCTCCGATGAAAATTTTATACATAAAATTTTTAAGATTTTCAACATTTGTGCTTACAACACATATATTTACATAGTTTTGTACTATTGTCTAAAGTATTGTTTGCATTATTGCGTTAACACCAATACTCTTAAAACATTCACAATTTAGAAGTATATACTAAAATATTGTATACTCTTGGAATGTTCCCTTAGGTCTAACAAAAATATAACATTTTGATCTACGAAATAAATATAACATACCATGTTTCAAATATAAACATGTATAGTTGAATGTTATCATACCTTAAAGAATTTGAAAGTAATTAATACACAGTGAAAGTAAATAAAACATGGAAGTATTATTTCAAGGGAATTAAGCGTGCAACATGGCACAATATTTCAAAGAAACTTACACGTTAAAACTCCATCGCTGTTTTTTTATAACAGTTAATTATATTTTATTACGACTCAGGACGCACAGTCAAAAATGTCGCTAGTTGGGACTGAGGTAAACTTATTTTTCAGACAGTGTTGTGTCGTAGAAAAGTTGCATTAAAAGGTTTTCGGTTACGAGCTTATAGGCAAACAAATTCTCAAAGCTCTATGATTTTTTTACATATTTTGAACAATTTTTTATTCTTCTACTTTTAGGTATATCTTTAGTTATAACAAATATTAATATTTATACTTTTCTAATAATTGAACTTCCCCACCATGAGGTCTATTAAATATTTCACCTCGTTCCAAAGTGGTGCCGCCGTGTGGCAGAAAAGTTGTGGAAGCCCTTACTTCCCTTTTGTCATATAAGTAGCAACGTTTATTACATGACGTCATTGTGCTCGTCACTCGTCGCCAGTAGTGTTATGAAATTATAATTAATCAGTATTATGATAGTTACGGTTTTCGAACTAAGCTTGTTCGCAGCGCAATTGATAAGCCTGCCCACGCCTACCGCACCACAATTTGTGTTGGGTTATGCAGAATTTTCGGAATAAATGCTTCCATGTTTTAAAATCGTTCACAAAATGAAAACATGGAAGTGAAAACTTCTTTAGAATCGTGACTTGAAACTCGGTGAAACGAAAAAGCGACACTAAAACTAGACAAACATTACATCTATTGGATTTAACCTGCGAGAGAATGAGATAGAATACAGTATACAACGTTTATTTTTTTTTATATTTTAAAACGCTACAATTATCCTACACTTTTCTGCCTTCGTCTCATTTCCTCGAAGTTTAATTTTCTGAAGGTTTCACTTATACCGCGTATGAACTACACACATGTATTTTTTTATTTATGTTACCGTCATGGTTAAAATTCACAAAATCAAACTTAACATTTCTCAATACCGTTTGATACCTTTCATTGTTTACATTTCAGAAGAATGTTCATCGACATTTTGTGAAGAACATTCTTCTGCCCGTATGCTATCCCCAATTCCAATAGGAATATTTTTTATGATTTCCCTTCAAAATTGATTTTATGTTTACGTCGGCTTCATGTAATTCCTTCCGTTTGTCCCTTTCCATTTTAATGAGTTCAAGACCACGTTTCGCAGCGCAATGGTATCTTTGACTTAAAGATGCTTCAGATCCCTTGATTCGCGGAATATGTCCCGTGTAGCCAGCTATCGGTGGAAATTCTGGTGATATTGTGTGATCTAAAACAGGAAAAGTAGCGGTCAAAAAGTGCACCTTGAGCAAATCAGCTTTGAGTACCTATTAGTACAAGACAAATAAATCGTTATTTTTGAAATTTAATGTGTGCTAAATAATCGTATTTAACGACTTTGGTGGTTAATTTACAGAGATGTGCAAATGGGTTCTTTTTTTATTTCAAATAAAAATACAAAATGGTTTTCAATGAAAGTATTTCAATACAAAATACGGATTTTTAAAAGTTTCAAAAGTTTTTCATATGCATTTTGTATTTGCATATTTAAATAACAGTAACAGTAACAGTGGTAGAGCCACGCGGCAGCTTCTGCTGTCGCACGGATGGGCCGGCTCGAACCGGGGTGGTACCACGACCTCACAGAATACCAGCGTGAAGTAGAGGTTTACCTCTGCGTTTCGCTTGGTGAGTGCAGGTGGCCGGAGGCCCTTTTTACTGGAAAAGCGGCATTCCACCTTCGTCCTCACGGGTGACAGCGCATCTGCATTTTGATTCGCAAACGAGGATAGATGTAGATGTCTATGGGCCACAGCTACCACTTACCATCAGGTGGACTGTGTGCTCGTTTGTCACCCTATCCTATAAAAAAAATATTATGTACCTATTACAAATACTTAATTCACATCTAATTTACATAACTGATTTACCTTTGTACTTATTAATCTCTCTGAATTTATTCATATCGCGTCGTATTTCATCCCTGGAGTGTATAGTTTCCATTTTTGGTGCACTCCTTGATCGCGCATAGCTTTTGTTCAAGTCCGTTTTGCGTCTTAGTTCACGTTGATTCTCGGTAAAATCGGCGATGCAGTCGTCGGCCGCCCTGCCGTATGATTTGCCATATCTAAAAATTATACAAGACAGTATCAGTCTGGTTACAGAACTGTGTTAGCTAAAGGCAAAAAACTTAGTTCCCTAAGCCGCAACAAATTTTATTTCTGTATGTTCAGTTTATATTCAAATTAAACAGACTTAGGGCCGATTTTTTAATCCTTACTTAGATAAAATTTTGCGTATTTTTAGAGTAACTGATATAGCACTGCGGATTAGTAAGCTGAAGTGGCAATGGGCCGGTCATATAGCTCGAAGAACCGACAAACGATGGGGAAGGAAGGTTCTCGAGTGCATCTACCTACTGGCAAATGCATTGTTGGACGACTTCCCCTAGGACCTGAGAGTGACCTGATGAAACACGCAGGCAGTCGATAGATGCGGGTGGCTTAAAACCGTACTTTGTCTCAATCTATGGGTGAGGCCTATGTTCAGCAGTAGACTTGTGATGGACTATAGGTAGTAATTTATTCACAGGATTAAATAAACAAATTCAGGTCAGGTTATAATTTATTTCTTGGATAACTTTTATCTGACGTTTAAAAATCGGCCTTTAGATTGTTAGTCTGAGATTTAGAAATATTAATATTAATGTAATATATAAAAAATAATTTTTGTTTGTTCGTATTTTTTGCGCTGCCATACCGTTCATCAGATTGCAGTAAAATTTAGTCAACATATTGCTTGCACTTTCGCGAAGGTTATAGGTATAGTACAATTGACTTACAGTAGGTGGATTAATCGATCGATTAATTTGTTGGTACGATTATCGACAAATTAATATGCAAGTTATATATCACTCCTATTTAAACAATATAACTCTTCCAAATTTAAAACGATATTTAGCGAATTATTTTTTCTGTGGCAGCAACGCGCCGGGAACCAGCTAGTATTAAAATAAAATTCCATGTACCATTAAAATAAGCTGGTTTTATTTTAACATTTTTCTTTATTTAAAGTAAAGTAGTGCAAAGGTTCGTTCGTAACGTTTGCTACTGCTAATGTCATTGCGTCAGCCCAGAGCTTAAAATCGATATATCAAATTTCCTCTAATACTATGTGCAAGGCCCATGTCAAGCAATGGACCGTTACTATCGTGCAAAGAAGAAGAAAAGGGAGTACCATGTTTTCTCATGAACTCTGCCGTGTTTTGTATAAAGACTGACGTGAACCGAAAACAAAATACTGGCAAGGAGGTACTATTACATTTTTAATTTTTTATGTAGGTTGATTTTTTATTTAGTGCTTATCACTGCTTATTGAGAGAAAACTTGTACTAGTGCACTGTAATATCACCTGTGAAGGCGATCTTCATTCATGTTCAAATAAATTTTCTTTACTCTAATCGTGACACAAGTTATCCTGTTTTAACGTGATGTTAATAGCTTGACCCGTATGTATATTATTTATTTTATAATTGCGTTTTCACTTACTTTCGGACGTCTGAATCTTAAATTTTGCATACATATTAAGAACCGATAATACAACAATTCATAGGGGGGTATTTGCCATAGTTGCCACGCTTGGCGAGCGGGTTGGTAACCGCAGTTTTTTTATTGTTAGTTTGTTGTTATCAAGAAGATGCTGCTGCCCATCTCCTGCCTGTTTCCCTTTGTCGCCTTTTACGACACCCACGGGAGGATATGGGGTAGTGGATATTCTTGACCGCCACTACACGGCAGACATACCTCAAAACCTTAAAACCAAGTTGTACAACCAGTGCGTGTTGCCAGTGATGACTTACGGAACTGAGACGTGGTCCTTCACTGCTGGCCGTATGAGAAAGCTCAAGGTCGCTCAGCGAGCTATGGAGAGGGCTATGCTCGGAGTTTCTCTGCGTGATAAACTTAGGAATGGGGATATCCGCAGTAGAACCAGAGTAACCGACATAGCCCAACGGATTAGTAAGCTGAAGTGGCAGTGGGCCGGCCATATAGCCCGAAGAACCGACAACCGATGGGGAAGAAAGGTTCTCGAGTGGCGGCCTCGTACCGGTAGGCAAAGTGTAGGGCGTCCCCCCACGGGATGGAGTGACGATCTGGTAAGACATGCAGGAAGTCGATGAATGCAGGTGGCTCAGGACCGTGCTTTGTGGCATTTTTTGGGGGAGGCCTATGTTCAGCAGTGGACTTGTGAAGGGCTGTAATGATGATGAATACAACAATTTCACAACTATGACCTAGTTTTCTTAATAGGATCATCTCAGCTCATGATCAAGGCGCAGTGATAACAAAATAAGAGCTTTTTTAAATAATTTATAATACCTTGTGATTGTTGTCACTTGGTATTTATTTTAATTTTTTTTGATTTCTTTAAGCATTTTTATTTGTTTCACAATATTATTTTAAATTATTAATTTATTGAAAATAAAAACCGACCGGTTTTGCTTCACGTCATCATCAGGTACTACTAGGTGGACTGCTTGTTTTTTTAAACGCAATATTATTTAATTCAAATAAGGTAACACAGCGGTCGAGTCAGTCCAACAGTAGATCAAATAATTTTTACAAGGATCGAGCCCTATATCAAACTTTGCGATAAGCCTGTCTTGCCACCGCTTACGAGGTCGGATTGTAGTCAAGCAATAATAAAACTTATTCACACTCATATGTATACGATAGGATTCTATTTTTACGTGGTAGAGCCAAGTTGCAGCTATATTAGTAGTAGGTATAGCTGTAGCAAGAATGGGTCGGCTTTTTACTGGAAACGAAGCATTACATCTTAGTCTTCACGGGTGACAACGCATCTGCATTTTGATTCGTAATCGAGAATAGATGTAGATGTCCATGGGCCGCAGCAACCACTTACCATCAGGTGGACTGTGTGCTCGTTTGCCACCCTTATCTTATAAAAAAAAGGATATAATTAAAAAAGTGCTTGTGCAAAAATATTTTGCTTTGGGTGCCTTACCTAAAGAGCATCCCCGGTATGTAACCTGTATATCCAGTCATGTAAACGGGCTGTCTGTGTTTGACCGCGTCGTACACGTCCGCAGTTGGAGCGTTGTGACGCGGCATGTTGTCCAGTTCGTAGTTATCACGGGGGCGGTATTCTAGTGGTTTGCTGTAAAGTAAATAACAATTGTAAAATATAAAATGTGTTCATAGTACGTTCGTACGTATTAAACGTAGTAGAGTCACGCTGCAGCTATATTGTGGTTGTAGCACGAATGGGTCGAATTTCGACTGGGGAAGAATTACGCTTTCAAAGAATACCAGCGTGAAATAGCAGCTTAATGCTGCTTGCTGTTTTTTCGTATGGTGAGTGTAGGGAACCGGAAACACTTTTTACTGAAAACGAGGCATTCCATCTTAATCCTCAAGGCTGACAAGGCATCTGTATTTTGCTTTTTAATCGAGGATAGATGTCTATGGGTCACATCAACTTTATCATCATCATCATTACAGCCCTTCACAAGTCCACTGCTGAACATAGGCCTCCCCCAAGAAATGCCACAAAACACTGTCCTGAGCCACCTGCATCCATCGACTTCCTGCATGTCTTACCAGGTCGTCACTCCATCTAGTGGGGGGACGTCCTACACATCGTCCGCCGGTATGAGGCCGCCACTTGAGAACCTTTTTTCCTCATCGATTGCCCATTGCCACTTCAGCTTATTATCCGTTGGGCTATGCCGGTCACTCTGGTTCTACTGCGGATATCCTCATTTCTAAGTTTATCACGCAGAGAAATTCCGAGCATAGCCTCTTCATAGTTCGCTGAGCGACCTTGAGCTTCCTCTTCTGGCCAGCAGTGAAGGACCACGTCTCATTCAGTTAGATCATCACTGGCAACACGCACTGGTTGTACAGTTTCTTTTTTAAGTTTTGAGGTATACCTGGCGAGAAGATGTGCCGTAATTTCCCAAACGCTGCCCAACCGAGTTGAATCCGTCGATTGACCTCTCGGTTAAAGTTGGACTTACCTAGTATATAAGACTCGCTTTTAGATCGTTACTCACACTTACGTCGAAGATATTACACCCACACTTACTCCAACCATGATTTGTACAGCTGCCCATAGAATCTCTCAATCTCACTCAAAATCTCAGGTGTCCCGGAAACGACGCTGCCAAACTCGGTCTTCAGCTTCGACAGTTGGCTCTTTCTGGCAGACAGATCTCGAGCAAAGACTTTGGAGCCCTGGTTCCGCTCAATCGCTTCTTCAATACGAGCAGTATTAAAGTTACGTAAGTCCCGCCACATGCATTTGGAGATCTGTCTGTTCAGTTGCCTGTATGCTGTCACTCTGTCTACTGAAGACTGCAGCTTCGTATCCCGTCTAATAGCCGTTAAGATTTATTAAGAGTGTGATTAAGAGTGTGATCGGAGAGTTTGTATTCTTCTGCGGCGGGTCTTGTAAAACTTAGCTCCGACCGCATGGACAGTTTCCACGAGCTTGTCATTCATATCGTCCACTGCATTGCAATCTTCTAGGCACTGAAAATGGTTTCGTAGCTTGAGCTGAAAGGTTTCGGGACTTTAGATTATAGCACAAGGGGGACGGAGCGTTGACTTCATTAGACGTGACCTCTCCAACTTAACGTTTAGGTTCAGTGTGCCTCTCACCATTCGGTGATCGCTGCCAGTTTTCACCCTCACGATCACTGAGACATCACTGAGCAGTTGTCGTCTGGTCGTCATAATGAAGTCAATCTCATTTTTTGTCGAACCGTCGGGGCTTGACCAGGTCCACTTCCTGTGGGGCAGCTTCTGGAAGAAAGAGTTCATCATAAAGAGTCCCTCTTTCTCCATGAAGTCGGCCAGCTGCTGGCCCCTTGGGTTCCGTTGCCCTATTCCGAATTTCCCTACTTTCTGCTCACCGTTCTCTCTTGTGCCTAGTTTTGCATTGAAGTCTCCCGTTAACACCGTATAGTGGGTTTTGGAGGAATGCATGGCTCTAGAGATATCCTCATACATCTCCTCCACCTCCTCATCGGGGTGTGCCGAAGTTGGTGCGTAAACCTGTATGACCTTCAGCGAATACCGTTTGGTGATTCTGAGTATAAGGTAAGCAACACTCGTCGACACACTCCCAATCTTTACAACGTTGTTAACGAGAGACTTGTGGATGATAAATCCGACACCTCCTTGGGACAGATGGTCGTCCTCCCGGTGATAGAACAAGTTGCCGGATTCGAGGATTACCGTGTCCTCACCCTCTCTTCGGACCTCGGATAATCCTATAATATTCCAGCGCAACTTGTCTATCTCTTCTTCCAGCTCCAGGAACTTCGCGTCAGTCCTCAGGGTGCGTGCGTTATAAGTTGCCAGGTCGAGTCGTCGTAGGTGGCAACCGGAGATTCGTAGCACCTCCTGCCCCGCCGTTGCCATGGTCGCCACCGTAGTCAGGAATAGCGGGGCCGCCGGGGACTGGGGGCCGTCCTTTCGTAACTTTTTTCATTGGGGGGTATATTGCCATAGTTGCCACGCTTGGCAAGCGGGTTGGCAACCGCAGTTTTTTTTATTGGGATATTGCTGTTATCAGGAAGATGCTGCTGACCATTTCCTGCCTGTTTCCCACTGTCGCCTTTTACGACACCCACGGGAAGATATGGGGTAGTGGATATTCTTAACCGCCACTACACGGCAACAACTTACCACCAGGTGAACTGTGTTTTGTTACCATTATTCTATAAAAAAAAAATATTTCAACAAAATATAGAAGACTCTTTCTGGAAAGCTTGTGATCTGCCAAGATGACGCTATCAAGATTTTTACAGAGCGAACAAAACAGCCTTTTTAAGTCTCATAGCTGAACAGACCTTCTTTTCATAAAATTGACATACAAACTTACAGTCCATCTGATGACAGATACGAGATTAAGATAAAGTTAGAGAATTAGCTTGACATTAATGGTCCAATTTTTCAAAAAATCTCGAACAGGTTTTAGTTGATTATTTTTAGTATTTTTTTATAATAGCCTACTCCTTTTTAAAAGGCTGGCAACGCACCTGCGATTCCCCTGGTTCCCCGGGTGTTGTAGTTGTTCATGGGCGGCAGTGATGATGGAAATTTGCAGTTGTTCATGACGGTAACCTTTGACATGTTGAGGGCCAAACTTTAGCGTGCAAATACGTTCGCGGGCCGCGTTTAAAAGTACTAAGTGCGTTTTAAAGTAGTGATAATATTTTTTGCGATAGATATTAGACATGAAATAATACGACAATGTTGTTATAGTACAATTTATTAAAATAACAAAATGAAATTTAATAAAATGGTACATAATAATTAAACCGTTAAATTTGCAACTGTTACAAACAACGAAAGTTAAATACACCGAAATCAATGAGACACTTGAGCTTGAATTTGGGAAACTAATCCGTCGATATTTGGATAATTCCACTGATACAAAGACGTAAAGAATTTTTGAAATTATCGTCAGTCAGTTTTGTACGATGTGTTGATGTATTAACTTTCATCAATGAAAAGAACTGTTCGCATTTATAAGTTTCAATCCATCGTCAGTTCAAGGCGTTTTTGTCTTGAACTGACGATGGTTAAGCCCTCGGGATCGAATAAAGTTGATGGTTTTTACTACCACATTCATAACATTCTGGAGTCGAATGGACTTAGAACACAATTTACGTGGTAGAGCCATGCTGCAGCTATATTAGTAGTATAGTTGTAGCACGAATGGGTCGGCTCGACCGGGGAAGGACCACGCTCTCACAGAATACCAGCGTAAAATAGCAGCTTGTCACTACTTTGTTTCGTATGGTAAGTGTAGAGAACCGGACACCCTATTTTCTGGAAAAGAGGCATTCCATCTTAGTCCTCACGGGTGACAACGCATTTGCATTTTGATTCGCAAACGAGGATAGATGTAGATGTCTGCACACCAACCACTTACCATCGGGTGGACTGTGTGCTCGTTTGTCACCCTATCCTATAAAAAAAAAACTAACATATTAAGAAAAAAATTAACAAACAAGCTTTGGAAATAATTAGGAACACTTCGAAAAATCTACTTAAAAAAACTAACTACACTACACCGTACTAAAATCCACTAAAATATTTACTGTAATATCAACTGTACCAAAATGGTGCCGATAAAGCAGGGACCTTTTGACCATTTATTATTTGGTTGGCTAATGAAGAGTTATCAGAGAGCAATCTACGCAGTTTATATGTTATAAGAAAGTGACCTTATTAATCGGATGACCATATTACCCTCATGTACTATAGTACTACGTAGTAATAGCATAGTGTACTGCGGCCAACTACTATAGATATAATCGCACTATAACAGTAGTGCGATTATATCTATAGTAGTTGGCCGCAATAAGCTAATTATAAAATGCCTATTTTAAAGTACTTAAATCAATATTTTGAGCACATAAGATGATACGATTGCGTGAATAATTGATAAAATGTTAGTTTCGTGTCAACCACTATTCATATTTTTTAAATTTTAGTATGTTTGCACGAGTATTTTTTTTCAATGAAACTAAAGTATCAAACAAAGTTATTTTACCTATAGCAAACTTCAAACTAAGAAGGCTAAAGATGCGTTGTCACCTCTGAGGATTAAGACGGAATGCCTCACATACTGGCTCTCTACTCGTATATCGCGGAACGCAACAATGCAAGCACTGTTTGGCGGCATAAATAGGTAAGATGGTGGTACTCATTAAGACGGACTCGTAGGCAGTGAAGAGAACATACCACCCAGTGTAACCTAGTAAGTATATTTCCTTTCAACCATTTGCTGATGCCCTATTACTTTTCTACTGACTTTTTTATTCATATAAAATACACGCATTTAAAATAATAAAAAACATCGCCAAACTGTGCAACAGTTTGTTGGCGATAATGGCGTTTTTTTGTTATACATTAATATGTATTTTATGTTACATACATATTTATCTTAGGTATATTTATTACAATAAATATTTTTAATTAATACATAATATTATAGGTAGTACGTTATACTTTTCATAAGAATGGATCTTTCAGTGTTACAGTGCTTATGTCTTTGGATGTATCTCATAAAATCATCAACTCAATCGAATCGACAGTATGTTTTTTTTTATGTGTGTTATCTCATAGCTTTTTACTGGGTGAACTGATTTCGATGATTCTTTTTTTTGAATGCTGGAGCTTCACATGTGTTCCCATATAAATTTGATCAAGGTCTGACCAATAGTTTTTGAGTTATTCTTAATAGTTTATATTGAAGTCGGTTGTACAAAATTTTTAATTTTAAATTATTGCCTAGATAGTTCGCGAAGTATTTGACCGTTTGTTATAAGGCTTTCCATTTTCGGTCTCCTTTCTATGTAGCCTCCTTAGTTGGGAGTTGTCTGAATAGATATGCATGGTTAGGTACATTATGAATAACCTACCATTTGGGCAGTTAGATTGTTTGTAATATTAATACATTTAAAATTAAAACAAATAAAGTATTGAAGAATATTTCTTACTCACTTATACAGCCCTTTGGAACGTATTTCTCGAAGTATTTGTCGCGTGTTGTCTCCGTAGCATTTGCCGTACCGAAATTTTAGCATCGGACAGTGGCCGGTATATCTGGAACAGATTTTGAAAGATTTTACTATCTTTTTTTAAATCTAATAAGGGTGACAAACGACCACAGTCAATCTGATGGTAAATGGATGCTGTGGCCCACAGACACCTACATTATGTCTTCAATTAAGTATCAAAATTGTTGTTACCCTTGAGGACTAAGATGGAAAACCTCATTTCCACTAATAAGGGTCTCCAGTTCTCTACACTCACCATACGAAACAACAGTATTAAGTTGCTATTTTACGCTGTGAGAGCTTTATTCTGCGAGGTCGTGGTACTTCCCAGGTTGAGCCGACAAATTCAAGCTATAACCAAAATATAGCTGTAGCGTCGCTCTACCATGTCTATCTTTCATTATAACAATGCCTATAAGAGTGAAAAGGTTTTTGTTAAGCTAAGTCAGTGCGTTTTACAAACTTCGGCTACATTATCACTTATCTGCAGTCGGTATGGCAGTCAAGTGGCTTATTGTAATGAAAAAGTATTTTTAAAGAGAATTTTAATAATCAACCAATTAACGTCAACCCCAATATTTAAAAAAAATACTAGTAATGCTATTAAACATTACTAATATTCCCTTTAACCACTTCCGGTAAGCTTAAGATGCTTGTGTTAGAAGTGGTTCATAACAGTAGTCAAATGGCGGATTCGAACCCACGACCATTCGAGTTCGCGGTCCGCGCACTGCCATTAGGCTACTGACGCTTTTGTTTTTTGTTTTTGTTTATACGTGGTAGAGCCATGAGTGTAGAGAACCGGAGACCCTTTTTACTGGATACGAGGCATTCCATATTAGTCCTCGGAGGTGACAACGCATCTGCATTTTGATTCTTAAACGGGGATAGATGTAGATGTGTATGGGCCACACAGCATCCACTTACCATCAGGTGAGCTGTGAGCTCGCTGGTCACCGTTCTTCTATAAAGAAAACCCATATCGACCTCATATTTTTTATTAAGAGCTGAAAAGTAGCCGTGTACCGTTAACCGTGTAGGTTAGGTGTAAGAATAATCACTACCCCATATCGTTCCGTGCGTGTCGTAAGAGGATACAGAGGAAATCTGAAGCAGCAGGTTTTTGTACGTGGCAGAGCCATGCTGAAGCTATATTAGTAGTATAGTTGTAGCACGAATGGGTCGGCTCGACTGGGGAAGGACAACGCTCTCACAGAATACCAGAGTAAAATAGCAGCTAAACACTGCTGTGTTTCGTATGGTGAGTGTAGAGAACCGGAGACCCTTTTTACTGGAAAAGAGGTATTCCATCTTAGTATCTTAGTCCTCACGGGTGACAACGCAGATGTTTTTTGATTCGCAAACGAGGATAGATGTAGATGTCTATGGAAGACAGCAACCACTTACCATCAGGTGGACTGTGTGCTCATTTGTCACCCTATCTTATTTAAAAAAAAACTACTGGTAACGAAAACTAGTAGTAGTGTAGCGGATTAGAAACCCACGACACTCTGAGTTTGCGGTCCACATCCTACCACTGGGCTACTGTCGTTACATTTTAAATCTTTAAATCGTTTATATTTGGTAAAAAAATTACAATTTGTGTGAAAGAATTCCGAATATCCTTGTTATATATATATATATATATATATGTGTGTGTGTGTTACGGACTCCAGCTGCCCCTGAAAAGGTCGCCTTGGCTAGGGTCCATAGTAGCCTCCTCGACGTGCAGCCGAGGGTTCGGGCCCAAATGGCCATATGGACTATTGACCTATCATACTACACAATAGGGAGAAGGCTAGGTAAATAAATAGTACGTACCTGGATCCGAAGCTAAGACCGCACCACGGCTCGGTCAGGCCGTAGGTGTATAGTGCATGTAAAGTGGTGTGTTGGTAGTGTTTATTTATGTGACCTGGCCCAGCTGAGGTGACCGGGCACCGGCCTGGTCCCATGCTGCCCCACAATGCTGCATCACTCCAGCAGGTGTCACCAAGGGACAACTTCTTTCTTCATGTCACTATTTCAGTCTATCAACCTTATTGTACGTTTAACTAACTTCAACTCAACTGATTCAACGTTCATCGTAAAATCAAACACGTGATACCCGACACAAGTAACGAACAGTAGTTCAAAGTTCAATATTCAAGGTTCCGGATTCATTTATCACCAAATTACAAATAGGGAAATAACGCGATCTCTTCATGAGTCACACGGCTCAGCGTTACAAACACAACTAAGCTCCCGCGTTCGATATTAAACACCACGCCGCAATAAGAATTCAAAATCAACCTAGCTGACGCGTAAACTAGCTACTGAGTCATCACACAAAAGGCTCTTAACGCGACGGTATAATTAAACAACGATTTCCCAAAACCAATCAACCGGTAGTCGGCTCGCGCGCAAGATTCCTCGTTACACAAGCAAGCCAAATATTGCAAAATGCACTTCAACACGCAATCACTATATAATTGGCGCAATTACTTTCAAACGAAATTACCTTAGTCAGTCAAATTCCATACTAGCCTCTTGTCACGACCGTACAACTTAGACAAACTAAAACCGAGGCGGTCTTCACGACATCACAATTCAGTAGCGAATAACGCGCACAAATACTAAATCTAGTGCATAAACTCAAAAACTGGTCCCGCGAAATATATGCAGCGGTCTCCAAATACGCGAATTGCACGCACCGCTGCTCTCCAAGCTACTGTCTTCGCCCACGCGTCGAGCGATAGCAAGCGGCACACGGCCGCCCCCCCTGGCGGCGTTTACCTCACCTACATACCATCGGGTGACGCGCCAGCTCGAACGCGATTGGATGGCGTTCAAATGCCTATATTTGGCCAAAACAATATATATATATATATGTGGTGGCCAGATCATAGAATTGTTCACTTCATGATGTGGCCGAAAACTGACCATATCATTCAAACATCAACGGTTCAAGATTTTTCAATCCACGATAAGCCATATCATTAATGTAGGGTTTCAATGATAACAAATGTTTAATTAAAATTCCAAATAAAATAGAAACTTTTTGAAATTGCTTTTGGCTGGCTAACAGGTTAGGTTAGGTTAGGTTCACAAAATCATCAGTCAATAAGCGCCTCTAATGGTGGATAATGCAACTATTTTACGATATGATCACTAATGTTTGGCCATATCATGAAGTCGCCGAGCGTTTCGCTGTTTATACGAGTATCGTTAAACGCCGATTATTCATTGATCTGCCCAGACCATATTATGATGTGGTCACTGGTCAATGGTTGTATTTTCCATTTCATGAAATGATCGATTATTTTATGAAATGTATGTATATATATTTATAAAATTAAAGTGAAATACGAACTAAGACCAAACATTTTGGATTTTGCACTAAATGTGGCGTTTCATGTTCTCGTATTATTACAACTACAAGTTGGTTACTCTGATAACTCCAAACTATGAATATTATGGTGTCCTAAAAATTTAATCTGGAAATGTGAAAAAAAATTACGGCATCTGACAAGAGTGCTAAGAAATAACTATTTTAGTCATTAATTATTCATCGGCTCTTCTTAGAACATTATTCGTAAACGCCACTTTAGAAAGTTGGCTAAACGAGACAGCTTCGTGAATGTCGTAAGAAAATAGGAAATGCTACAAGTATCTCGTGACCGATATATTGGCGATATCACCATTTCGTTTATACCAGACGTAACGTACTCAAACTTCTTGTGTTATAGCTGTTCTCGTAATTCACCTACCTAACTTGACGATCCTACACTGTAGTTAACGACTTGATAATTAAGATTAGATTAAGTGGTGTAAGAATATCCACTGCCACATGTCGCCCCGTGGGTTTCGAAGACGACAAAAGGGACAGAGAGAGAAACAAACCAGGAGAAGGGCAGCAGCGTCTTCCAGACGTGCAACTATTGTAAATATCCTCCTATGAGGCAGTCTATGGCGGAGGCTTATGATAAGCAGTGGACTTTTAAAAGACTGTAACGATACAGATGGCTCAGTACAGTGCGTTGTAGCTATCCATAGAGGAGATATTAGCGATTACTATAGAATAAAATAAAGATTTAGAACTAGAGAGGGTTATTTTTCTAAGAGTAGCCAAATTTTATACTTAAGTTCAAATACATATAAGTAGCCTAAGTTACTCCTTATAACCTGAACTATCTACCAGTGAGAATCTCGTCAAAATCGGTCCAGCCGTTTCGGAGATTAGCCGGAAAAAACAGACAGACAGACGGACAGACATACAGACAGACAAAAATTTTAAAAATTGTGTTTCTGTGATAGGTACCGTATATACTTTTATATGCAATTAGTAAAAATCTGTTATTTTGACATTACAAACAGACACTTCAATTTTATTTATTTGTATAGATTATCCCAAATTGAGTAATGGACAACAACTATGCGTACGTGCGCTCCTCTGTGTGCGAATCAATTCACAACGTTTTTGCCGACCGATCGACCCGTACAAATGTGTTAGTGCGTAGTAAAACATTAGGCTTTAGATATATATGAATGACAATCAGTTAAAATAATGCATTACCACGCATTTTGAATTTAAAAGATAAAAAGGACAGAACGTCTGAGATTTATTTTAACTAATTTTTGTTCACCATTTGCCTGTATTAATTATCCTGAATCTTCTCTGCGAATTTGGCCGGTTATTGCAAAATAACGCTGTAGATCGTATGCCTCGTTTTCTCAGTAACCGTCACATAGAGCACTGGTTCTAATTCTCCTGAGATACGATAGGTGTAGTGACTTTATCCCACTTCGTTACTTTTAACTTCAAAACATATATTAATAATAAATACGATTTACTTTATTGACAAAGAATTATATAATGCAAGAAACACTGAGATAAATATTTGTTTCATAGTTACATTCATCTATATCGTTATATCTGCATCTGCACTCCAAGGTACGTAGTAGGTGTATACTAAAACACACACATTTTTATTATTCTAAGCCGGTGTTCGACTATTATCCTACCTGATGGTAAGTGGTGATGAAACCAAAGTTGGTAAAGTGCAT